TTTTTTTATTTTTTCACACCCTGTAGAAGTTGGGCCTCCGAGGAACCGAGGCCCAGGGCTCAGATTGAGGCACCGCCGTCGCCCGGTGTGTCATCCTCTCAACATCGTCGTCGCTATATTGCATACTGACCTTTCGACGCTGTTCCCGCGTATCAAGATCTGTAATCTGTAATCAATCAGCCCGGCAGTTTCCCGCAGAATTTTGAGCGCAAACGAAACAGACGAAACCGAAACGGGGGAACAGGGAAGGGGTGGCGTCCCATTTACCCTCGTCAACAGGAGAAAAAAAAAGGATAGTGTGTTTCGGCGTCTCGCCGCAGCGGGGCGCCAGTTACATGGTTTTCCTAGAGTGCTTTCATACACACGCGCGCTTTTGCTTGAGTGGTGACATCTCAGCCATTTTACCGCCCAATAGTTTTTTTATGCATTTTGAAGTGCGCGCAATCCGGTGTCACTTAGCTCGAACGCGTAGCTTTGGCTAACGCATAGACGCCATTTTACCGCCCAAGTCACACACCAAGTGCGCGAGAGCGTCACGCGCTGGCACATACAGGGCAACAATGGACGTCTTCACCCTCAAACAGACAGACATGTAGGCACCCTAGGCTTTCCTCTTATCAGTTGTCTTCCGCTCTTCCTTTTCACATTCGGCGGCCGCGTCACGTGACTATCTGCCAGGTTTTGTCAGTATAGAGGGGGCTATGGCCAAACCACGGTGGGCCAAACACATGCACGACCAGGGCGTAAGATAGACAGGTGGGGAAACGGCCCATAGAAGTAAACATAGAAGCCTATCGCAGCGCCGTGACCGGATTGTGTACTCGTCTGCTTGCGGGTACCCCCAATTTGCGACAGATGGCGCTGCGGCGAGAGGAAAAAGATTGGAATCGGATTTGCACTGAACTTTATGGGAGAGTCCGCAAAATAAGCCGAGAGCAAGGCAGTCCTCCATTAAAAATCCACGAGAAATCATCTCCGTCAGTTTAGCCGGTCGCCACCGGTCGCCTACCCGGAGTGAGAGTTCGCGATGCTCCACATAGATGGCGCCACAGAAAAAGAGAAAACCGAGAGGGACACAATCCGGTCGCTCATTTGGCTCTCGTTTCCCCGCCTGTCTATTTTACACCCTGTGCACGACGCAAGGGCTCGCCCGTGCCATATAAATATGATCACATTGAAATATGTGGGATTGCCCTTCGAAATCCCGGGTGTGCTAATTGCGCGCAGGCAATTTTATATTTTTCAACTAGTCGGTTGTTTTGTTGCGCATGTGTCTCGCCCACGTGGTCTCGCCCATAGAGTTATTATAATGTACGCTAGAGGTTCAACTGACGCTAGTGTCTATGCGACTTCCGTGACGCAAATTGAAGCAGACAGCAACCAGTCTACTTTTCCAGTCTTCCTGCGTATTCCTATGGGAAAGCGCGCGTGCATTTTGTCTCTTCACCGGAAAATAACACGGAACACTTTGGTTATTTGGGTCGTACCGAATAGTATGTACCTTGATTAACACCGTAAAAGTGTAATTGCTTTAGGTAGCCCATTTTTCTTCATCAGTGAACGATATTTAACTTCGCTACATTTCAGTTCCAAACGTGTGTTCCGCAGCAGGTGTGTAAAAACAAGCGACGATTCAAAGCAAAATTACAATCGAAACGAACATAGAGTGTGTTGAAGGCTCGCCAGCATTCCGGTGACGCTTGTATATTTATAATATGCCAGTCAGTCACTATATGAAAATGATCCCGTCGTGCATGAGGGGATAAAAACCTTCAAAACTTAGAGAATAAAGTCCGTGGGCTATGAAAGGTGTCTCTTCGTATTGTTTTCTATGCCGGGCAGCTTTTATCGCGCACTAGTTCCCAAAACTATCGAGCGCGCAGGTGATATTTTGAACGTAGAACAAGCAGCTTCGCTCAGGGCAGAAAGAATAAAGCGGTACTTACTTATTTAAAATCGGAATAGATTACGTGGCCTTCAATTTATTTTGATCGTACATGCACTGCGAGTTACTCATCCAGTGTTACTGCGTAGTTCTTGCCGCCGCTCTTGATTTTCCAGATGTCCTTCGTTCGTTTGGCATGTGTAACCCCCATGCTGGAAATCGCCGACGCCGCGTTCGCGCTAACAGTGTCCGACAGTGCACATAAATACACGTACGAAGCCGTTTTAGCACCGTTTTTAATGCGACGAATTCTAAAGAAAAACGCCGTAACTGACCAATTATTTCGTCGGCCTGACTGAGAAATGTTTCAAGCTACCTAGTACGTACGAATTTTTTGGGATATTTGCTCTTATGATCGAGCGCAGGGAGAAAATGCGCTCAAATTTTCCCGTAGAAATGCATTACCGGAAGTCCATTTTCGACTGGTTGCTGTCTGCTTCAATTTGCGTCAGCACACTAGCGCCACTTGAACCTCTAGCGTACATTATAATAACTCTATGGTCTCGCCCACTGGTCTCACCGTTAGCTGATGACGATTTGCGCGTTTTATTCTGACTAGGATTTTGACCACATTTGCTAGAGACGTGAGCTCGAAGCGTGTAGACGACTGGCCTTCTTGCACGAGAACTGGCGCAGCCGTGCGCGTTCCACAGAAACCTCGCGCAGAGAAAAACAAGCGAAGGACCGGGGATGTTAATTTTAGGATATAGAAAAATACCACACCGTATCGAAGCGCCACCACACACGATTTATTGCATTGATGTACAGGTCTGGAAGGCGGTCCCATCGCCATCTGTTGGTTCAGAATCACACTAACCAAGGGTGGAGTTCAAACCCGGGACAGCGGAACGCAAGCACGTCGCGATAACCACTGCGCCACACGGCAGACAACGCGAGGAGCGTGAACCTTGCATATGAACCTGAGTACGATCCCTCGGTGTGGCTCGTGCAGGTATGTCGCGCAAAATGCGTTCGGGAACTTCTGAATGGTACTACCGAGAATCTACCTGGCTAAAGGAGTCGGGCGTGGTCCCGGCCTTCTTAATCAACGCTTATATTTTGTTCAGGGGTCCGCCTAGATGAATTTAATACCGCAAAGTTCGTCTCTCTTGCAATATTTCACATACAAACAGCAGAATTTCAATCGCGTTTGGAACCCCCTTCCATTTTTTTTAGTTCTCTTTTTGTGTCGAGGCTATGTCAACGCCTATCAAAAACCCATGTCAGGAGGCGCTTTGGTAACTGTGCCCTCGTTTTTACTTTTTGGCGAGAAAACGATTTTTTCCACTGAAATTTTTACAGGGTAATGGCGTCCGGGTTGGGGGGGGGGGGGGGGGGGGGAGTGGGGGGGGGGGGGGGAGCTATATGGCGCAAGTGAACCATGTCCCTCATTGTTGGGAAGGCATGGACGGAAGCTGTTTCCATACGGTTTCCATGCCATCCTCCGTTAAAATTGTCAATGATTTGTTCAGTTAAAGTTCGCTCAATAAAAAATCCAGCATGTTGTATACGAGCGGTAAATATCGCTTCCTTTGCTAAACAAAATAAATAAAGAGTTCTAAGTAACTTTGTATTTCACGGCATAAGATAAATTTTCACTGCACCCTTCCCACACCTTTACCCAGTGATAGCGTGCATCTAAAGGTGAGTCGTACTAAGGTGGTCATTTGGGTGAGTTGGTCCTGGTTAAACATGGTTAGCAACTTTAAGCCTAGATATGCTCAGAAAATGCGGCAACCTGAATGACTATGATTAACTTCTCGAAATGGCAGAAGCACACCCACTAAGCACGCCTACGCTCCAGCCCAGCAGGCAGGCATACGGTAGCTAAGCTAGGTTACGTCGTAAATAAACTGCCACTGCTGCCACGGCGCTCTCCGCCTTGGGGATACACCCAGTTAAAGGCCGACGACCAGACTCGAGATTCTGCAAGGCAGAAGATCCTCCTCACCATGGGGGAGGAGAAAAGAGGCAACGGTGTACAAGGAAGAAGGAGAGAGGACGAAGCAGGGGAAAAGTGGAAAGTGGGAACTAGTCTTCGGTCTTTAACCGAACCCAAGCCACTACCCAAACAGATGAACTCTGAGCAAACAACACGGCGTAAGTCACATATCAAAGAACACCTCAAGGGGGTAAAATCCATCATAACCAACGGTGACCATCGCATAATCTACGCGGACGCAACAAGCCCCTCGGACAACTCAGGCTTCGCTACGGCCTGGTGCAGCGCTATGATGACCAACAGGGCAAGATGTTCCACGTGACGGAAAGTCCCATCTCCTGCACGCAGAGAGAGACCATCGCCATCCTCGATTACGCCAGGCATGCAAACGCGACGTGTCATGCCGGCCAGCCTGTGCACTATCAGGTCTTTACAGATTCACAGGCAGCATTTAGAGCCTGTGCAAATGTAAGACAAACATCAATTTCCATCAGCCAGCTCCGTCTGTACGTTCATCAACTTCGAACGCTGGGACAGGACTTCACAATACGCTGGGTTCCCGGGCACAATGGCGCACCTGGCAATGAGAAGGCTCATTGCCTTGTACGAGCGCATTTATCCACCGTGCAATTTCAAGCCTCCCTTCACCGGCAATTCCACTTCCCATCCGAGGACATCAAGACTCACCCCCCTGTCCAAGATCCTGCAGAAGATATCACCCGAGCTAAACAATAGCGCCAGACTTACCTTTCTGCCACGGCAAACCCAATCCTCATTTCCTCTCCCCCTTTTCGATCGTTTACCCGCCGACAGAGCGTTACCCTCAGGCAGATCCAAACCGGCACTTTGCTGACTCCCTACTTTCTGCAACGCTTCAACCACAACAGCAGCACCCGAGCAACCACGGCTCTTGCCTTCGGCATGTGCGGGCTGTGTCGCGTTAGGGCACACCTGGAGCACCTGTTTCGGGAATGTCGGCAGTACTCCGAACCCCGGACTCGAGCCATCGGCTAACTTGATCGAGGCATCAGGCCCACCTCGCTCCAGTTGTGGGCCTGTCCGGGACCCTATAGGGTCCCGGACATGTGTGCTCTGAAATAAAAGCAAGTTCCATGACAGCTGTTTGTTGGTTTTATTGCGTAGCGACGCTTCATATGTACACAATGCACGCTCACATTCACTCGGGGTTTGTACACAGGCATTGGCAGCGTCGACAAGACATCAAGGCGACAGCGACAAGACATCCCTTCCGCCGCCGAGAGGGTGCGTCCACGGCGGTCGTTCCGACCACAGACGCGGGAGACTACGGGTTGCAGACTGCAAACGCCGGCCACAAGAGCGCTCGTTGTTACTTCAGGAATATGACGGCACTCGAAGTAAGTAGTAGACCCGCGACAAGCATCAGGCCGCAAAGAATTGTTTCTCTATACGCATAAAAAGGAGCAACGAGAGCCGGGTTAAACACCACAGCATAGCTGGCTTTTCCTCTGTCAGACGTTCAAAGCGAGACGTCGGCGACAGTTCGTGAGGAAGCTGCGAACGTCTGGTCGGAGCGTCATCGACGAGTCACTTCAGTGAAAACCTGTGAACAGGGTGACTTAAACGCCTGCTTGCAGCTCCTTGCGGTACTTTGAGAAATAAAAATAAAAACAGACGTACACAAGCACACGGGCAAAGAAAAAAATAGAGCTTCCCTTCAAACACCAAAATTCATTTGTTCATTTCTAAATAACACAGCCCGGTCTGGACCAGGCCGTATGACCATAAGAAACCCAATCACCCATAAAGAAGCTTTTTTTTCACGAACACGACACATCTCATTAACATCCTCGTTCGGTGCTCTCCGAAAAGTTGCGTTGCTGACGAAGGCACTGTTGAGACCGTCTCTTAAGCACTGGTTGTCGGTTCTACCCACCTGTAGCGACCACGAGTTGCGAACATGTTCTTGGATGACCAAGACGAGCAAAGGCCGGACGTGGGCCAAAGCTCAAGATCGCACACCTTAGTAGGGGAGAAGAAAAAACAAAACAAAAAAAACACCAGTGGCTTGTGAGCCCCACCGCAGAGCCCCTCTGGCAGCCCTCTGGAGGTGATCCCCTTAGCTATGTACAGCCGGGCCAGCAGCGTTTAGAGTGCGCAGGTGGATCTGGGACGCCTTGGTTCTAGAGCCGGACGAGCGTCTGTTCGGTGCCACGAGCATGTTCCGGCCACGGTCCGGGCGAAGAGAACCCGAGGAACGACGAAGGACCGAATGCGTCTGCACAGGGAAGACGTCCCGAGGGCATCGCGGGAACAAGGGCGGACGAATAAATAGAGTGACGACCGTGCAGGCTTCCGAGCGGCACGCCCGTCGCCTCATCGCTTGCTCTTGCCCTTGAGTCCCAGGAACTTCCAGAAGGAGGGCTGGTTGGACGAGCACGACTCGGCGGCCACCCTCGACTCCTCGGCCGAAGCCCTGTGCTGGGGCTCCTTGAGCATGTCCAGGAAGTTCTGGTCGGACCTGGCGATCTTGGCCCTGGTCAGCGTGATGACCTGCGGCTGTGGCACGGGCTGCTGCGGCGGCTGTTGTCGCCCGTGGTTGGCGTGGTTCACGGCGTTATTGCTGAGCACCTTGGGGTCCTCCACGAAGGCCTGGGCCAGGTTGCGGCTGATCTGCTTGCGGATGGTCTTTTTCATGGACAGGTGACGCTCCAGGTGCCGGAAGTCGCGCTCAGTGAGTGGCTGCGTCGGCGGGGCCACTCCGCCGGTGACGCTGGTGGGTTGCTGGTTGGGCTGCTGGTGCTGGCGCCTCGCAGGCGGCGGCGACGAGGGCTCCTTGCGCCTCGACCGCGGCGAGTGGTCGTAGGACCGGAGGTCGCTGAACACGTCCCGGACGTGGGGGATGCGCCGCTCCATGGTCATCGGCTCACGCCCGTCTGCGCACAAGCAAGGCCAGGGGTCACTGACACGCCTCGAAGCAAGTAAGCAAGTAAACGCTTCCTAGCAGTTTGAGCCAGGCAAAGCCTACGAGGATATAGAACTGAACGAGTTTCATTCTCAGTCAAGGTACAATGAATAGGTTTTCGGTGTCACTCTATAATCGGTCAGTCCCATCCCAGATACAGATCTAGGGGCCTAACGACAGGGGCGTATTTATGACTCAGGCTTGGGGGGTTTCTGTTGAGATATGACGTTACGGTCGAAACGTTTCCCAGATCTATTTTCTTGACTCAATATTTGCTATGTCACCAAAAACAACTTTTGGTTAATGCATATCGATTTTTTTATTTAAAAACGTTGACCTTTTGGGGGGGGGGGGGGTGGGAGTCCGCCCCCCCTCCGCCATAAATTCGCCTATGCCTAACTATGATGCCCGCTTGCCGTGAGACGACAAATAAAACCAAGGCAGGCGGCTAAAAGCAGAAGTGTGTCGAGTGTCACACAGCAAACTTTGTATACGTACGGAGCTTGCGCCTACGTTTAGAGTCGCCGGGGTACTTCGTATGAAATGAAAGCTTTGTACCTGACATACGAAGCACGGATGTCATTCATAATGCAACGTAAGAAAACATAAGCGATCGCTCCTGCGTGGTCTAAAGGCTGACAAAACTCCCTCCTCTTACAGCGTCCAGTCAGGTCTTCAAGAGCAGCGCGGAACCGGAAATGTCTGGCGGCGTACGTGGAAAAGGCCGAGAGAGCAGACGACCCTCCCCCGCCGCCAGACAACAGACAGAGCAGCGGCCAACAGAGGCAACATGGCGGCGCCGCGACAGTCGGCCCGGGCAACGGGGCCCATTGTTTCGGCGGCAAGCAGCGGCGGCACGACTTCTCGGCGGAGCACCGTCGTGACTCGGCTGCCGTGCCTCGTGTGCGCCCTTGCGAGGCGGACCACGTGAGTCGGTCGGAACCGGGCCGGAAAAGCAGCGCTTCTGGGTCCGCCGCTCCATTTCATGGAGTGCAAGTGGACGACCGCTCATCCGCGCCCAGCCTTGGCGTCGAGTCGGCCGTCCGACAGAGGGGCTCGCAGCCGAGATTGAGAAGTCGCTAGGTAGGCGGCGCAAGCCGCCGCCCGATTCGAGGATTTTAGCAATATACCCCCTTCAGGCAAATGAGATGAGAATGCCGAAGCAGGAATCACGAACACAACAAGCCCTGCCAATCTACCCCTGGCAAGAAAGAGTTTAAGTAGATCGTTCCGATACTTGCGATATCTTCCCGATAACGATGCCCGATAACTGTACTATGTATCAGCATGCGCAAAGGCATCGGCATATCGGAGTCGTCGGAACCATCTGCTAAAACTCTCTGATACAGTGATTTCCCTACACCCCCCCCCCCTTGTTTTTCTGAAGGCACCACCTCAATTTCCAACGACTCCTCTACTCTCAATGCCCCCCCCCCCCCTTAATTTTAATTCCTGGGTAAACCCCTGCTCTCATCGTAACGGCGATAAGCACATGGGGGAAGCCAACAGGTATATATTAGCTCTTCCAGGCTAATCGGAATATAGGCCCACATAGGTGCCCTGGTTACATGAACTTCTGACTCGTCGGTGGCAGTCCTGGTACAACGAAAAGTCTTGCACGGCGGTTCCGTCAGAGAGAGGGATTCAACGACACGACTGCGAAGGGCCCTGAGGGGTCTCTGGGCGAACATCTCGGTTCTCGTCACATGGCCATCGATGACAGAAAAGATCGCGATTGTTACTCAGTTTACGAGGTCCACTAAACATCTACAGGGTGAGTTGCCACTTAGATCGCTAGACGTAAATGACAGAGAGTAATAAGGCCACAGGCCAACGGTCGAATAATTTTCGAGTCCGACAAGACGGGTCAAGAGAGAAAGGAAGGACGCATTCGCGCCATCGGTGGTATTGTAGAATCTGGCAGAATCTTACATCAAATCAAGTTTGGGGGATTTACGTGCCAAACCAATGACGGGCATCTGGCACGCACCAGCGGAGAACTGATGATCAATTTGGACCCCCTGGGGATCTTTCGACGTGCAACCGAAGGCTCGGTTACACGGCGCCTTTTCCGCAACAAGCCTCACCCAGCCCAGATTCCGGGCGTCTCGGCCGGGATTCGAACCCGCCACCTGGGCTCTCGCCTCGGAGAGCCACCGAGGCGGCCTTTCATTACCGATGATGTGGGCTGAGTTGGTACGGTAGTAGATCTTTCGCAATAGTAATTTCACACCTTAAGAGTTTGACTCGGACTCAAATCGAAAATTATGCATTCGCCTTTGTTACGCCGATCAAGACTCTCGGCGACCGTGAAACGCGGGTCGCGATTTTGAATCCCTTTCAGAGCATAATTTGTTTTCAGCATACTTCTAATTTGTCCGGGACTATTTAGTGCCCGATATCATCTACGCGAACTTGGACCATGACGCACTCCTTCCCGCGGTTCTTCCGAGGCCACTGTGGACTCGTCGAGTCGGGGAATAACAGAACCTTTTCCTCATTACGCTCGCACCTGGAAAAGCTTGTTTTTGTTCCTCGTGGACATTGCGAACAGAATTTTGGCTGACTGAAGCGCCGACGTCGACGATACGAATCTCTCGAAATGCCGAGTAAATGACGAAATGAACGGACCGATGAAGACTCGACACTGCATCATCCGTTCGCCGAGAAGTCGGCATTAGCCTGGTTTCTTTGGAGCCCCGTTAACCTTGATTCGGGCAATTAATGCGCCGAGATTAATTCCGCCGGGACTCCCCGCCGATCGTACGGTTCCGGACGACTGACAACCAGCGAGTCAACCAACTCTGAAAAGGCGACTCGAGCAAGTTCGCTCATTTCATGAAATGATGAAACATATACGCGCTCCTAACCTCTTTTTTTTTTTTCTTTTTTTGACGCTTACGCAAAGCTAATTTGCACTTTAGCGTCCGAAGCGAGCGTCGCGTGGCACAGTGCAAGGTACCAGAGTTGGCCAGCTGCCAAAAGGAAACGACCAAGAATGAAAGCAGAAGGGAGTGAAAGACGAGGCGACGTCGCGACGCTTCGAAAAGAGTTAACCAGCTGTCAAAAGCTTTCGGAAACAACGCAGGAGGGGCAGGAGTGGGGGGACGAGGCGACGCTTCGAAAAGACTTAAAACCAGCTGCCAAAAAGCTTTCGGAAATAACAAAGAAATAACGCACAAGATGCAGGAGTGGGGGACGAAGCGACGCTTCGAAAATACGTAAAACCAGCTGCCAAAAGCTTTCGGAAACAACAAAGAAATAACGCACAAGATGCAGGAGTGGGGGACGAAGCGACGCTTCGAAAAGACGTAAAAACCAGCTGCCAAAAGCTTTCGGAAATAACAAAGAAATAACGCACAAGATGCAGGAGTGGGGGACGAAGCGACGCTTCGAAAAGACGTAAAACCAGCTGCCAAAAGCTTTCGGCAACAACAAAGAAACAACGCACAAGATGCAGGAGTGGGGGACGAAGCGACGCTTCGAAAAGACGTAAAACCAGCTGCCAAAAGCTTTCGGCAACAACAAAGAAATAAAGCAGAAGAGGCAGGAGTGGGGGACGAAGCGACGCTTCGAAAAGACGTAAAACCAGCTGCCAAAAGCTTTCGGAAATAACAAAGAAATAACGCACAAGGTGCAGGAGTGGGGGACGAAGCGACGCTTCGAAAATACGTAAAACCAGCTGCCAAAAGCTTTCGGAAACAACAAAGAAATAACGCACAAGGTGCAGGAGTGGGGGACGAAGCGACGCTTCGAAAATACGTAAAACCAGCTGCCAAAAGCTTTCGGAAATAACAAAGAAATAACGCACAAGGTGCAGGAGTGGGGGACGAAGCGACGCTTCGAAAATACGTAAAACCAGCTGCCAAAAGCTTTCGGAAATAACAAAGAAATAACGCACAAGGTGCAGGAGTGGGGGACGAAGCGACGCTTCGAAAATACGTAAAACCAGCTGCCAAAAGCTTTCGGAAACAACAAAGAAACAACGCACAAGATGCAGGAGTGGGGGACGAAGCGACGCTTCGAAAAGACGTAAAACCAGCTGCCAAACGCTTTCGGAAACAACAAACAAACAACGCACAAGATGCAGGAGGGGGGGACGAAGCGACGCTTCGAAAATACGTAAAACCAGCTGCCAAAAGCTTTCGGAAATAACAAAGAAATAACGCACAAGGTGCAGGAGTGGGGGACGAAGCGACGCTTCGAAAATACGTAAAACCAGCTGCCAAAAGCTTTCGGAAACAACAAAGAAACAACGCACAAGATGCAGGAGTGGGGGACGAAGCGACGCTTCGAAAAGACGTAAAACCAGCTGCCAAAAGCTTTCGGCAACAACAAAGAAATAAAGCAGAAGAGGCAGGAGTGGGGGACGAAGCGACGCTTCGAAAATACGTAAAACCAGCTGCCAAAAGCTTTCGGAAATAACAAAGAAATAACGCACAAGGTGCAGGAGTGGGGGACGAAGCGACGCTTCGAAAAAACGTAAAACCAGCTGCCAAAAGCTTTCGGAAATAACAAAGAAATAACGCACAAGGTGCAGGAGTGGGGGACGAAGCGACGCTTCGAAAAGACGTAAAACCAGCTGCCAAAAGCTTTCGGCAACAACAAAGAAACAACGCACAAGATGCAGGAGTGGGGGACGAAGCGACGCTTCGAAAAGACGTAAAACCAGCTGCCAAAAGCTTTCGGCAACAACAAAGAAACAACGTACAAGATGCAGGAGTGGGGGACGAAGCGACGCTTCGAAAAGACGTAAAACCAGCTGCCAAAAGCTTTCGGCAACAACAAAGAAATAAAGCAGAAGAGGCAGGAGTGGGGGACGAAGCGACGCTTCGAAAAGACGTAAAACCAGCTGCCAAAAGCTTTCGGAAATAACAAAGAAATAACGCACAAGGTGCAGGAGTGGGGGACGAAGCGACGCTTCGAAAATACGTAAAACCAGCTGCCAAAAGCTTTCGGAAACAACAAAGA